GGCCTCGCCCCCTTTGCTGCGTGTTCCCGGAGGCGGGGTTTATCTGGGTTTGTGATGTCATGAACCCGGGAAGAAACTCGTTGTAGTCCCTACCAGCCGTTTTTGTAGGCATTAAACTGCCAGAATTTTAAAAGACGATATCGCTGTATGCATTGAACTTTCAGCTTCGTAACTTTGCATATATTGTTTATGCTCAAACAGCAACATTACACACTAACTAACGTTAAAAAAGTGAAATCGCAATCAACCACCTCTTTCACTTCTCCAATATGATTGACTGAAAGCATCATCATTTAAAATCCTCTATATCTCACAAACACACACAATGCTTTCACAAGAAGAGTTCCAGTGTCTGAAACACCTTAAGATCAGTGACATTTAATAATTATCGACCGATATATATATCGACTTACCGATATTTAAGCATTTTACCATAATCGGATATCGGTTTTGTAATATCGGTTTCACAAGTAAAGTATACTTACTTGATTTGCTGTAGTTAGTAAACTTTATTTAACCTAACAGCCATTAATGCACAAGTTAGATGCATTACATAAATGCCTGATATGTAGCTCATGCAGCTAGGCTCTAAGAAATAGAGACAAACTCACAGAGTCATGTAAGATAATGCTTCAAGTCCTGTCCCAATAAAGACATAACTTTGCCTGAATTAAATAATATACAGCCATGAATGAGTACATGTTGGAAATAAAAGCGCTAAATTTAATTCTCATTATTAGTCTCGTGAAGTTGGAGTCACGTAGGCTAAAATAATCAATTGATTGTTTATTATCTCCGATTGCGATAGCAGTTTTAGTTCTGTGTAACTGCATAGATAAACCGCGCTGTCAGCAGGCATTTCATAATTTAGAATGCCAAAAGCATATGAATAATTCTGATATAACATACCAGTTGAGAAATGCAATAAAATATGATGTTTTGTTTGTTACATGCCAATATTCCAGAGAATATTATTCAGTGAATTAACATTATCCAGTGAATTATTCTTCACTCTTTAGTCTATTAAACATCGTATAAACCTACTAAAACTGTAGTTTAAAATGAAGTTCAAATGACTCCTGTCCTTTATTTATTTTCTCCTTTTGAAAACATTAGACATTCTCCATTTATGTTGCTTATTGTTAATATTAGTGCTGCTGCTGATGCTTTTTATAAATGAAATGTTTTTATTGTTGTAATTCGTATAAACCTACTAAAACTGTAGTTTAAAATGAAGTTCAAATGACTCCTGTCCTTTATTTATTTTCTCCTTTTGAAAACATTAAGACATTCTCCATTTATGTTGCTTATTGTTAATATTAGTGTTGCTGCTGATGCTTTTTATAAATGAAATGTTTTTATTGTTGTAATATGAAGATTAAACATGAAAGACTGCTAATTTTCAACACTTTTAAAAGATGACTGAAAGGAGAAAAAACCAAAGTGAAGTATGGACTTAAATATCGGTAATAAATATCGGTTCTGCATATCGGCTATAAACATCGGCATCGGTTATAAAAACAAATCAATATCGGTCGATCACTAATAATAAGTCCATCCCAAATTATATAGTATAAAAAACAAATGGTGAAAACATGACTGTGAAATCTGTTGTTGTGAGAGATTAATCAGATATTTGTGAAATCCCTCACCAAAAAAGAATGAATTATAACTGAATTATTACAACATATGCAAAAGAAATGTTCGGAAATCTAAAACTGATATTTACTTCTGGCACACTAAAGCAAAAGAAAGAAGAAGTGGCCTGAAATGTGTTTATGATGTATAAAATGAAAAGTAAGTCTAACCCAAATAGGCCTTAAGTGCTGAAGACATTCACACAGTATAAGACTATTACAGTTCTGCATTTAACACTGTTAGCAAACCTATTCAAAATGATCAGGTTAATTAAAATTTAACAGACAGATGTCCAGGTCATAGTTTTAGATGGTTTAGGGTCTGACCTGTTGCAGTAGCTCCAGAACTGCTCGTTAAGGTACGTGTGATGGCTGTGCTCGTCTCCAAATGAAGCTTTGCTCTCAATCCAGTGAACTAAATGGCCATCAACAGCTGCAGAAGAACACAACACGCGGTTATCTCAAGAGCAGGTTAGGAAGGCAGGTTTACTACATACTAGCAGTGTTTAAGCAGAGAAAGGGAGTCAGCACAAACACAAACTACACAGCATTTTTCTAATCAGTAAGTAAATAAACAGCAGCTAGCATCAGATCTCACCTATAGGCACCTCCAGAATGATGTCCGGGGTTTTGTCGTAGCCTTTGACACGGAGCTGGTTCTCATCTGTGTTGAAAACACATTTCATGATCTTACAGTGGTTTACTTTACAATGTTAGAAGAGTTTATTTTTGTGCAAGTGATGATTGAGACAATTTTCCATCTTCTTTTTGACCCTAAGAACTGAACAATCATTCTAATATGCAGATTTATTATCAGTGTTGAAACTGTTGCTGCTTCATATTGTTTTGGAAGCTGTGATACTTTTTTCAGGATTCTTTGATGAATAAAAAGTTAAAAAGAAGAGCATTTATTTAAAATAGAAATTTTCTAACAATATACACTACGTGACACTCATTTGGGGTCAGTACATTTTTATTCTTTCTTTTTTTGAAAGAAATTAAAACTTTTATTCAAGACTGGAGTAATGATGCTGAAAATACAGCTGCGCATCACAGAAATAAATTATATTTTAAAGGATATTAAAATAGAAACCATTATTTTATATTGTAATAACATTTTGCAAGATTACTGTTTTTTCTGTATTTTTGATCAAATAAATGCAGCCTTGATGAGCAGAAGAGACTTCTTTAAAAACATTACAAGTCTTACTGATCCCAAACTTTTGAATGGTAGTGCATATATAATTCCCAATGATTCTATGCCTTTAAAACTCTTTAAAACCAAGCAGCAGGCATCCCGTGAAGGCTCATCGATGCCCTCGGTCAGTGCAACTAAAGCAAAGTCATCTGAAGAGAGTAAAGACACAGAGGAGGATAAGAGCAGTGTTTGCTGGCGCTGCACAAACGTCTTTTCAGGAGGGTGAGAGGTCTCTGTGTTATATCAGTGATGGAGTGACCTTGAGTCCTGGTGAAACACCTGCTTTCTCCATTAAATCACAGCGAGCGTCAGTCGGGCAAGAGGGGCGAGGGCTTGGTGTGGGGTCTGATCGTCTCTGTACATCACACCTTTGATTAGAATTAATGAGCTGTCTCAGCTGCTGCAGAGCTCGTTTCCAATCCATTTATCAGTGACCCGCCAGCGCGATCGCCCTCAGTCGGGTCAGAACTCACTCGTCTCACACCGCAGTCTTTACTGCCCCGTGACGCTCCAGAAACACACGTAAACACGCCGGGAACATCATGCACACATGCATCAGGACACATCATACTAATAGTGCTGCTGTGTTCCTCTAACATTTAACAAAAACTTCAAAATCACCAGTCATATATGAGTAATAAACTCATGACTGAGCTCAAAAAGAAAGACGTTGAACGGAAAAAATTACCATCTACAAACATGGATTATAAACGAGTCTGAGAGTAAACGATGTGAGCAGAGAGCACAATACAGTTTGAAAAAGTCAAGTTCATTTTCTGTTCAAGAGTCAATGATGATCCTCCTGAGGAGGTCACTCTAAATATTATATGCTTCATTATTATATGAGCTTTATATTCTGCGCACATGCACGCATTATACTGTGTATACAAAAATATGAGAGTCTGAGGAAATTTAATATAACAAACAAACAAAAAACACTATGCCATGAGTGAAGGCAAGGAAGAAATAGTAGTATATTTGTGTGTGTGCATACATTTAAAGGAGATTTGATATTGCATGCTTGTAGGAAGGCAATATTGGGCAGAACTGGTTGGGATATGTGGTTTTGAGTGTGTAAGTGCAGGAAAGCAGTAAACATGAGTACGTGTAACATAAGTAATGTAACACTGAAAACAAGAAACATTTATGCCTACTTGAACATTTAAACTACAATTATGAATATAACATGTTAGTGTTCTGTTTTAATCACAAACATAAGCCTACATGACTGCTTGGTTTCACAATATAAATTAAATGGTCTTTCTTAAAAAAATAAAACATAAAACTTGAATAAAAAATTATATCAAATATCAAGATTTACTGTATATACAAAAAAAATTTTTTTATTTTTTTATTTTTTTTAAACCAATGCCAGATTGGGTGACAGATGTGGTTGAATTCTGGTTTTGTAGTTACTGATAAACCTGATGAATTAAATTCATTTATGGACAAAAAAAAAATCTAATATAGATTCTGAAAAAATTCTGAAAGCATAAATATGTCTTATATTCCTGAGGTACATTGAGGCTTACCTAAGAAGGACAGGTTCCTCTCCCTGAGTTTGTCCCGCAGCAGGTCCTCGTGCTCCAGACCGATGGCACTGCGGGAACACGGTTAGGGACAAACTCCACAGAGCTTTAGTTTGTGCACTTTCTCATTCTCATTCTCACGGGAGCTGAAGGGATGGTCAACTTTCACAAACCCGTTTCTATAGGTTACCTGCGCTCGGTTGCCATGGAAACACTTTGACAGCTGAGCAGGGTTGCTGTGGCAACAGCAGAGGAATGTGTGTTTGTAGCAGGAGTGAATGTAGCATCACTCAACACAAAGCCAACATTACAGGGATAGAGGGTTCTGAGGGGTTGCTAGGGTGTTACTATGGAGTCTGTGTACCCAGGTATAGTAAAATAGCATACATAACACATTCAGCCAAAACATAAAGGCAATGAAGTGCCGAGGAGTTGTGTTTGTAGAGCATAACGCAGGCTGTGCTCAGGATCTGATGGGGCGGTTCTGTAGGGAGATTCGATGAACCCACGCAGATGTACAGAGTGAATGAATGCTGACGCATGAAAAGAGATGGAGAAAGAGTAGAGGGACGGGGATGAGTGACCACAGACAGAGAAACACTCTGACCCTTCACCCCCGACTACACACACACACACACTCTCTCTCACACACACACACACACACAGATGAGAAATGAACACAGAGTATCCCAGTGTTTCGCTGAGCACTAACTAAAGAGTTTTAGCAGTTTACAGATACAATTAGTATAGACTACTACAAGAGCAACAAACAATGAAAATGAAAAGAGAAAAATTTGGGTTTGTTCCTTGGACAAAATTATCACATGACTTCAGAAGAGTTTTACAGCCACTGATCACAGTCTGCTTGCACTGTATAGTAAAGAGCAGCGTGAACATTCTGCTAAACATCTTAGATTGTATTCAATGGAAGAATGAGATGATGTCTGCTCAGTGTTGGTACCTGCTCGACGTGCTTCGCTAACAGCAGGTCTGGAATTAAATACGGCTCGCGCAGCATGTTGTTGAGGACGTGTCTGGAAGCTGCTGATGGAGAGAGAAGAGTGAAAAAAAACGCAACTGCACATTTCCCACTTTACCACGCCTTTTGAGTCTCAAACACTAAGAAACGCTGTTTTCTTGAAACGACATAAAAACCCTTGTCAGACCAACAAAATTACCCCAAATGTTGTCCCAACGACTCAAACGCAGTTGTTTGAACAAAGAATTTCACATTGCTTAAATGTTAAGGCTTTGTGAGTTCCCAGCATGCATTGCAACATGCATAAATTATCCAGACATTTACATTTACGTTGGCTAAACAAAGTATCTTTACAGAGAAGAACTAAAAAACAATTTTTAGTTGAGAAAACTCAAAAGTCTTACTGCATCAAGTATCCTTATTTTTGTACGTTTTCTCAACTATTTATTTTTTACAGTGCATGCATTAGACATTTCCAGATGAATGGCCAGAGTTAGTTCAGATGCAGCAGGTACCGATGAAGACGCATCTCCTACACCTGCAGGATTTCTGTGATTCGAGCATACAGAGGTTTGGATGAATAATCTGCATGTCTCACTCCACTCATGCTGCACTAACATTATAAATCAGCCCACGAGCCCTTGGATTGATTCCCTGTTACGCCAACACAAAATCCATCATTTTCAAACATATTCAGATTTAATGGATTGAATCACTGTGTGTCATTCTAATGATATATCTATAAGAGAGCGACAGAGGCAGTGCATGATGGGAAATATGAGGCCTTGTTCAGCTCAAATAGATAGTGATGAGAAACAAATGAGTCAACTATAACGCAAGTCTAAGTTTTTATTTTCAAGACCATTTTTTCTGAGCCCTGCAATTGTAGCTTTAAGACTTCTGTGTGTAAATGACCTCTGTTATTATTGGCTGACCTCTAAATCTCCAACCTGAGCAGCATGAGATTGAGACCACAAGATCAAGCCTCCATCCCAAAAGGCCGAAATTTTCACAAGTTGAAAGATAAATACGACCTCACGTTGTGTCAATCACGTTTACACACTGCCTCCGAAACTTTCGTCCGTCATAAAATAATTTGGATCGGGTTCGATTTTCGGCGTTTTTCGCCTCCGTAGCAAGCATTTTGAGAGGTGTTTTGACAATTCAGAGCCACCGTACAAGCGAACGCCAAAATCCAGATTGGCGATTGTCAAGTTCATCCACTTCGTCTCGCAGCACAAAGCACTGTTAAGATTCCTACACACTGAGTTCACAGAAATTGGTGGTCTTCTTTTTAATACGTGGCTCTAGTATCGCTAGCAAAGCATCAAACTGAGCCACTGACTTAAGGAGGGACTCTCCTCCTTCTCCATATCTTAGGATTGGATGGACCCAATATTTCCTTTATTTTTCTCTTTTTAACACTAGAACAGCCACCGGGGAAATTTTACATTTTTCAAATGTACATAACAGATTTTCAATGAAACATTGAAGTATCCCAGTCATTGACTTTTACTAAAATTGTGTGATTTACAATCCCCTGTTGTTAAAAATTGTTTAGATAAAACTGATTAAAAAAACGGGGCATTTATACCTATAAGCGCCAGCGGGTTAAATGTACCCACTATATAATGCCTGTATTTTCGCGCTGTAATTTTCTTCAGAGCCACCGTACAAGCGAACGCCAAAATCCAGATTGGCGATTGTCAAGTTCATCCACTTCGTCTCGCAGCACAAAGCACTGTTAAGATTCCTACACACTGAGTTCACAGAAATTGGTGGTCTTCTTTTTAATACGTGGCTCTAGTATCGCTAGCAAAGCATCAAACTGAGCCACTGACTTAAGGAGGGACTCTCCTCCTTCTCCATATCTTAGGATTGGATGGACCCAATATTTCCTTTATTTTTCTCTTTTTAACACTAGAACAGCCACCGGGGAAATTTTACATTTTTCAAATGTACATAACAGATTTTCAATGAAACATTGAAGTATCCCAGTCATTGACTTTTACTAAAATTGTGTGATTTACAATCCCCTGTTGTTAAAAATTGTTTAGATAAAACTGATTAAAAAAACGGGGCATTTATACCTATAAGCGCCAGCGGGTTAAATGTACCCACTATATAATGCCTGTATTTTCGCGCTGTAATTTTCTTGCCGCTTATGTTTTAACATTGCACATTGCTAGGCAACGCCTTTCACTCACTGAATTAGTGGTTATCAGTTTATAAATAAAGACCAAATTAGTAAAAGACAATTTATGGATGCTGAAGAGGTATAAGAAGCACTAAATACCATGAGTGATGGAGAGTCTGATGGCTTTGTTTTGCCATTTCTATCGTTTATTGTTCGCTTCTGTGGTGCTATTTAGTTGCCCGTTTTCTGAAGAAAAAAAAAATCTAATAAAACCATTTTTTAATTACCTGAAGTTTATTGGTTTTCTTCTCTTATATTATAAATGATATAACTAAAGAAAATAATAATTAATTAGGTGAAGCTGTGCGCTTCAATTTGTCATCGCATCATGCAGTGTGGTGAATTATTATTGCTTATTATTGTCTATAGGCTATTTTAGTAATTTAAATAACATAGGTTAATATATTATATAATACGATTATATTATCATATCTTAAATGAATTAATGACATTGTAGTATAATATTACACCACCCAAATATGTATTTACTTCCATCTAATTCTGGTTGTCAGTGCAGGCTTGTTTAGCTTAATATTGACCGTTATGAAAAGTGATTAGTGGCCTGCATAAAAAAAGCCTTGAACATAAAACAACAGGACAAAAATACAGTTGATGACTAGACATAATCGTTTCATGACTCTAGACACTTCTTTGTGAAGCCAGTGGCATAATACAGTGGAATAATATGTTCTTTAGCCGTATAAAAACCGTTGTCATGTGCGTGGGTAAAATTTAGCCGCTGGCGGTTCTAGTGTTAAGAAGCGAGAGGACAACAGAATAATCCTCACTGCTTGAAGACTCCATTTAGTACTGTTTTGCAATTTTTTCTTTCGCAACGGATTAATTCATACGCATCGGACTCAGTGTGCAAGGTTTCTGTGCGTGACGAATTTTTAGGATGACGAATACGAAAAAACTCACTTAAGACTCGAGCTCTTTAGGCTCTCGTTACACAGCCCTGTCATCAGCATCCGGCCGCACACAAACTCACAATCCTCCCTCACTGGTGGCATCTCAGAGGTCTCTCTCTAACATCAAAACCCTGCTGGAGAAGAACAAACGCTCGCTGTTATCTGAGGACGTGAGGAAGAGAGAACAAAGCCAAGTCAGCAGTCCTCTGCACCGGCGGCGCCTTGTTTTTCTGCTCATTTTTCTCCCAGATTGCTACCTTCACACGCAGATCCATACGCTGCTCTGGCGCTCCGCTCGGCAATGAAGAGAGCTATATTTCCCCTTGAGTTAGGACACCTCATGACAAATGATAATGGATAATCAATAAAGCGGGAAATATGAGGCCGCAAACTTTATGAAGCCGGGAGACATATTACTCCCCAACAACACTGGTTTCCCTTAACAAAGTCACTACGCCGCTGCGCCTAATAATCTGAGGGAAAATCAAAGAAGCCGCAACCACATCAGCAATATTGGCAACTTATTCCACTTTAATGGCATTTTGATTGATTTTTTCCTCTTAATGGTACTTTTATAGATTTGATGCTGGTCCTGCAAAACAGCAGTATGTAATAGAGCTCCCCGAAGGCAAGCAACAGCCATTAAAGGCCTTGTCTTACCAGGACTCGTAATTGGAGGTTGACCACCATCGCATTTCACACATCACACAACACCACCTGCTTCAAACGGCCAAACCAGGGCCTTTTCCTCTGAGCGATGGGGTTAAGAAGAGTCGTAAAAAGAGGGTGACCTTGCGGCTGACATTGTGGGGTTTCAGCCAAGCACTGACCTGATGAAAATGGAGGACAGAGAGCTAATAAATCAGGCCGCTTTTAAAATGAGTTTACTCTAACGCTCATTCATCACGGCCCGTAATGCCATTTGCAGTGGCGGATCCGCAGCGAGCAAGCAGCACAGTAAATAACAACAGAGCCGAAGATGCGCACACGTCGTGCATTTATTAAAGATGCCTCCGCACGACACTGTAAACACACCACGAATTTAATGCAATTGTCCCGTGTCGACATAAATTTCGACCGAGGCGTCCTTATCTGAAGGAGGGAAATATTAAAGAGGAAAGATGCCCTCCGCCGGGAGTTGTTCAGGAGCAGGGAAGCGCTGTTTACCAAAAACACAGCCCCCTTTAACAACCTCTGATGAAATGACGAATGGGGCGGCGGAAAGCGGCGCAACCTCGACTCGCTCTCCGGAAGGATGAGCAAGCCATTATCAGACTCCGAAGAAGCGGACAGAAGCTCATTAGAAGGCAGCGCTTGTGGAGGGTCGATCGTCGTAAAAAAATAACGAATGACAATCGTTATCGCCCCCGACGCTGATGAGCTCCGGAGTTTGTTTATTAATTAAAAACCCTTTTCTTACGGTTATAATCAAGACACCCCCTCCTCCTCGCGAACACCGTCGTACATCAAACTTCATGGTGCGCGCGAGAGGCGCTGGCTGATAATGCGCCCCTGCTAAAGCTGATTTTCCATGATGAATCTGGGAGCATATAAATTGGCTAATATCTAAAAACATTTACAGATACTAGAGGGATTGACTACTTGCGGGCCGTGATGGATGAGGCTGTTAGACGCCAGAGGACAGCTCTGCAAATCTCTGCGGCTGCCTAAAGCCCTCATTTGCTTTTCATATTTACTTCTTTAAACCCATCCTCCTCTCACACAGAGAAAACAGGAGCAGCGGTGCTCGTGTTTGTTTCCTCCGTCTCTGCTGCGCTGGACAGTATTCTTCCACCAATCAATGTAGTTCCTCAGAAACGGTTGGGGTTGCACCAAAGTGGTTGCCGAGCAACAGACAAACGTAAACAAAGGTGTATGTTTGTAGAGTAATTTACAACAGCTTCGAACGTGGCTCAGCCAATCAGAATCAAGGACCGGAACTATCCGCTTTATA